GCAAATCCCCTTTCTGTCCTTTCTTCCTGCCCCAGGCCCCGAGCTGAGGACGGAGAGCATGGAGGACAAATCCCCCCAGCAGAACCTGGTGGGAGAGGCTGTTCTGAATGGCTCCAGGGCACAGGAAGGCACCGGGGAGGAAAAGTCCCGGACATTCCCTAGGAGGAGGGACTCCAAAGCCAGCCCACGGTGCTTCGAGGAGGAAAGACTCACCCTGTGCTGGGAAGGCGGCCAGAGCTTGAGCCAGAGCTCTGACCTGGTGGTCCCTGAGCAGTTTCACACTCAGGAGAAGCCTTACAAGTGCTTGGAATGTGGGAAGAGCTTCAGATGGAACTCCCACCTCCTCACCCACCAGCGCATCCACACTGGGGAACGGCCCTACACATGTGGGGAATGTGGGAAGAGCTTCAGGCACAGCTCCCACCTCATCACCCACCAGAATTTCCACAGCGGGGAACGGCCCTACACATGTAGGGAATGTGGGAGAAGCTTCAGCCGGAACTCTGACCTGATCTGCCACCAGAAGATCCACACGGGGGAACGGCCCTACAAGTGCTTGGAATGTGGGAAGAGCTTCAGCAAGAGCACTGCCCTCCTCACCCACCAGCACCTGCACACAGGGGAACAGCCCTACACATGTGGGGACTGTGGGAAGAGCTTCAGCCAGAGCTCCAACCTCATCACCCACCAGCGTGTCCACACTGGAGAACGGCCCTACACGTGTGGGGAATGTGGGAAAAGCTTCAGCCAGAGCTCCAGCCTGACCTGCCACCAAAAGATCCACACTGGAGAACGGCCCTACAAGTGCTTAGAATGTGGGAAAAGCTTCAGCAAGAGCTCCCACCTGATTCGTCACCAGCAGATCCACACGGGGGAACGGCCCTACAAGTGCTTGAAGTGTGGGAAGAGGTTCAACGTCAGCTCCAACCTGATCCGCCACCAGCAGATCCACATCAGGCAACAGTCCTAAAAGTGTGGGGCATGTGGGACGGTCTTCAGTGACAGCTGCACCTTCATCACCCACCAGCACGTCCACACCAAGGAGAGGCCCTACACGTGTGGGGAGCATGGGAGGAGCTTCGTCCGCTGCTCCAACTCCATCACCCTTCGGAGGACCCTTGTTGGGAAGAGACCTGGTGACCCACGTTCTGGGTGATCCATGTTGGGCACAGCCCTAGTGATCCGTGTTCCCAGTGATCCATGCTGGGCAGTGTATTGGGTTTTGGTAGCAGGGAGGACTCCAGGAGTGGGTTCTGTGAGCAGCTTCCAGAAGCTTCCCCCATGTCTGGCATCTGTTCTGACCCGTCCTGAAGGTGAGGGTGATCCAGGTTCTCATTTATCGATTCCGTGGGGCAGATTAGAGTGAAAGGACAGCAAATGATGGCTGTTCATAAATATATATGTGTAGGGTTTATTTTAGAACAATTTGGTTGCCATGTAAAGCAGGTTTGGAGCCATTTTGGTTCTTATCTCTAGTAATAAAAAAGCATAAAAGAAACACTTAGGAAAATTTATAAGGGAAAAGAAAGAATCAGAGTAGAAAAATACAGAGTCACAACCCGAGGATCCAGCATAGACTTGGTTGTTGCAATTCCCATTGGTCCAAATGATGATCACGGTTTTGATCCATCAGGGGTTTTGAGTTTCAGGGAAAGTTTTCAATGCCAAATGTTTACTCTTTTTCTTTAAATCCAGGACTGAGAGCAGTTGAGGTAAGGCTGTGATTCGATTCCCTTGTTGGTGGTGGTCACTGCTCAGCCTGTCACTTGTTTTCCCTCCCGAACA